TTGGTTACCGAACTACGAAAAATGATTGGATAAAAACAATTAGTCAATCTCATTGGAAATTAAATATATTCCTGTCAATAAACATTGATTATTTTACTAAGTGAAAATAAAAACTGAAAAGTAAATTAAAGAAATAGCATGTTTTCCGGCCCGTTCGCAGTTCAAAGTGTTCACAACATGACTTCCTTATTCTATTATTTTTCATTATTATTTACTCAGTGGGATTTCGAAATTTTTGTGTTGTTTCATTTCAATTTTTACATAAATATTGCTCTTGCCGGTGGTTTGTTCACATCTTAAAAGATCAGAGTCTCAGTTGAATATTTGCGCACGGCAATTTTTTCCTTAAAAAAAGATCTTACACGAAAATATTGCCAGATATAATGTAGACAAAAACCTGTGACCAATTTCTTAGCAATCTGTTATCGATCGACTCTAAAGAGTCATATTCACGGAAATGACTCCTCTTGACTTCTTTTAAGTAAATTATTGTGTCTTTTGTTTAAAAAGACAGACTTCTGTAGTTGATATGGCCTGCCGTCATTGATATTAACAGTCTGTGGACGACATATTGTTGTGAGTTACGCCATTGAGTGCTTGGCTATTTCCGAAATCTCTTACTTTCATGATGATAAGTACACATAGCAAACTTGGCCTGATGGAAAACAAATCTTTCAAACTTAAGCCGCTATTTTTCACCCCAATTCGTCCCGTCAACAACAGAATAAGGCGAGAGATCTGAAAACAACTAATTTACTGCAATATAGGTTAAAAGTAAGCATAGCAGAGTTAGAAACGACTAGAAATGTGTTATCCCTTCGATCGATGTCTGTATGAGGTTTGTGATTTCAATATCAGAAGTTGTTTCTTGACAACGAAATATAAATAGCGATACCGCAAAACGTATTCTTTCTTTCTCGTACATGGTTGTCATAAAAAAAGTGCGCCCACCGGCGTCTGCAGCCAGCATGGCTGGAATCACCCCACTCGGTTTAATTTCATTGCAGGCCGCAGATCGAAGCTGATAATGATAGTAACTGATGTTTCTATTGATATTTTTTTA